TACATACATACATACATATAGCGGAATCGGTACCCCCGTCCGGGGGGACAACTCGCGGGCTTTTCCTGTCGCTCGAGTCGAAAGTCCCTCGGTGCAGGCCAGCCATGTGTGGCATCACAACTGATCTAAAATTCTAAAAGGCGAAAAGGATCGGATCTGATTCCATCTTATAGTCTTCCATTCGGCTTTCACCTTTGATGCTCGAAATCGGGCGGCCATCTCATTCACAATCGTCTCTAGGCCTTGAAGCGCCTTGTGGTGCTCGATCCAGGAAACACTGGGCCGCTGTTGGTGGCACGTCGATTGAACATCACCAGATAATTCGCAAGGTCACGAATCACTGGCGAGAGGTCTTCACGGCCGCTCTGGTTCAACATCCAGCTCACATACTTCACATGCGAGGTCTCACTGGAGCTGGCCAATTCACTGTAAGTCATCTCTTGCTTTCCGAATTTTCCGGCTTCAATGATCGTGGTGCTGCTCGAAGCTCTTCACGCCAGATGGAAGGAGCTCCTGGCCATGTCCGGAGGAGTTTTGGATCGGTGATGATCGACGACGAATGGGCTCCTGTTCAGCTTCGGTCATTCGGCGCTTGGATGCATCGGTCATTGAACCATGGTCCTGTGAATTTGGCACCAACTCAAACTCCTGGAAATCACCGCTCAGCTCAGCCATGAGGGCGGTGATAGATCCTTCCTCCCGCACTCGGCGGAGGAGATCTTGCACGGCCTTGGACAACTGCGAATCGGTACCGGCCATATTAGCCGGGAGGAAACCGCACACCCGAGAACAAATCGAAGGCGCTGCACCAACTGAAAAAGGGCTGCGGACAGGAACTCACAATTTCAAGCATAGAACCTATCTCACCTATTCGAATCGGTTCAATCCCGACACTTGAAATAAACAGTGTCATCCCGCCAAGGATTCTTATGAGAACCCCTGCTTCATTGCTTGATTCTTTGCACACATATCAAAAACAAAACTTTGGGCACTTGACTCACCCCTGCAAGTGTTCATTTCCCCTCTGGGAACTCTCGAGCTTTTCGACATGGGCTTGTTGGATCTTTCGTCGAAGGGCCTTCTCAGCGGCCTGCATTTGGAGAACATTTTCCTCAGGTGAAATCTGATACTTGGATCGTTTCATGCAGGCTCGGAGCAGATCAATCGGATCGCCGGCATCCTTCGTTAGTCCGTCTGCGAGCATGCGATTTGTTGGAACCCAACGAACGGTGGCATGCATATACTTACAGCTTTCTCGGATGATCACCACATCGATACTAGTTCTACGATCTTCTATGGATGTGGGGGATGATGGTGATTTGAGATGATCGTACAAGCTCTTACAGTCGGTTACGATTATTGGCGGTCGATTTTTCAACACTTCACGGCAGGTGCGAATGCTCAACGGTCCTGAGCAAATTTCGGCCAAAAGCAGTGACACCCATTCCACGGTGCCAGTTGCAACCGACATTGCTTGGCTCTCGGCAGCTAGTGTACTGCTGACAGCTCTTTGGAGACGAAAACTTCGCCAGGCGATGGGCGTCCAGGATGCCTCCTTTCCTTCATTGAGATCGGAGTGGGTGAACCCAATTACATATCCTGCCTGGGTGTGGTTACCCCGGTTAGCAAATGCAGCATCACTGTGGCACACAATCGTGAGGTGTTCAAGATATATGGGGGTGAACGTCACTCCAAGATCCTTATGTTGACGGGCCCTCCGAATCGCATGGTTTGCTGTTCTGAAGTCCTCTATTGTTGGTCGAGGAAATGATTGCTGAGACAAACTGGTTTGAACACTCAAGTCCGGCCTAGGTTGAGATGATAACCAGTTCAAACTTCCGTTCACAGCTCTCAGAACCTTAATCTGACATGGATCGAGGATGTCGGTGGACGGGGAGTTCTTGGGTACATTAATTGGTCGAATCTTCTCGGCAAATGATGACATGCCCATATGGATGGAACTATCAGACCTTTGATTGTACCAAGCACCACAAAACTCTCCACTCCGTACCCGCCACTTCCGGTAGGGAAATCGAGAACGCAAAGCTCGAATGCTTTCTTCAAACACAGAACCACTTCCACCAACTGCTGTGTCATCGACGTGTACACCCATAATACCACAAAGGGTTTTGGATTGTGGATCTCTCAGCATGAACAGGCATGGATCTAGCGCACTCTGAGACCAACCCAGGGATATCACATGTCCACTAAACTCTCTGAACCACGCAGCCGGGGCGTCGTTCTGCCCGTAGAGGTTTCCAACTATCTCTATCACGGCGTCCGGAGACACGCCCGGTATTCCACCTGCTGGTTGATGTGCGAAGAGTGGACGGAATTCCTGACTTAGAGGTCCGGCCTCCAGGAATGCGCCTTTTATGTCGCCTAACTGTAGATCCCATTTTCTTGATGCAATGACTT